GGCTTGAATCCAAAGTGGTGGCAATCTCAGTGCTGCCAAAACTAGTCTGACTGATACGAAGGCACCAAGGGCTTGGTTTGGGTGAGAAAATCCATACAGCCTGGCCATAGTTGTGGTGGGAGCGTTTGGACACTATGGTAACCAAAATCATCTATATAAGCGTCTATAATATGTCTATTATGCTTCCCCAAGACTGCTATCTTTATGGTGCTCAAGAAACAGTATCACAAGAACCCCCCCTCAAGCCACCAAAATATATTTGCACTTGGTTCTTTTGATGTCGCGAGCGGTCATCAGGGCTGGTCACGCTCTTTCCAGGTGGACTCATTAAAAGCCCATGGTGGAAACTGTGTGTGTGTGTCTCAAAATGGTAAGCCCAAGCCAGCTTCGTAGAAAAAGGGCAAACTCACTGAATACCTAGTCTCCGCTCATTAGAAGCCTAACCCAGATTCAGATCTTCCCCTTTACCCTGTGAATTTGATGAGCCTTCGATGACTTCCAACCTGACCGCTCCCAACGATCTCAGATCTCTGTTTACCCGGACGGAGCACCTTCCTCCGCCTCCCGGACGGCCCCGTCCCCCGGCCTTGGCGGTGCCGCGGCCGGACTCGATGAGATTGCCGTCCAGGACCGGAAGCAGGTCGAAGACGTCCTGACGAGGACCAGGGCCGTCTGGTGACCCCACACGGCGGACCTCGTTTGGTGTGCGGAAAACAACAAACCGGTGGCTGGAGGTGTTTCACACGGGGAGGTGGAGGGAACAGCACTTACAAAGGAATATTCAATAGTCCTAAGATATCCTGAATCACTGAGGCTTTTGGACCTGCTCCGGTTTCCAAGAACCCCAAGTCACTTATAGGTCTTCTCCCCCCCCCTCCCGGCGACGGCCTCGTCGATCCAATCTTCTGCACCACCGTAAAGTGCCAATGCCCAACATGCTGCCTGGCCCAACGAGATCTCGGTGTTTCTGCGGAGATTCTGTCGGATGGGAAGGATATAGAAGGATTTGGTTGCACTGATAGGGCAGACGAGGAGATAGGGCAGTAATGCACATCTATAGGGGGCTTTCCCAAACAACAAATCTGGAAGACATCAACAGCTAGTCTCTCTCTCTCACACAATCTGTATTGTGCGCTAGATGTAGAATGCAGCCATGGGCCATGAAACAGTACAAGTCGTGGCAAACAAGCCAACATTCTCCTGGCTGTCCAACAAACAGTGAGCTGAAAACTCAGTCGATATAGGAATTTCCACTGTCTAGGTCACCAGACTGGGATCACTGGCTGCTCTCAGCCAGGCATCCATTTTCAGCGGTGGTTCATGACGAAAACGACCGTATGACCAAACCAAGGATTGTCTGGTTAAGACATCCGTGAAACACTCTAAAGGAGCTCCACGTACCGAAGCGATGATCTTTCACCCATCACTTCGGGTTGCTGATCGGCTAGGGATCTGCTGGTGACCCGATCCGGAGCGCTTGGGGAGAACACGGAGCGCCTCCAGGTCCTTCTGCTCGGGGGCGGTGGTGAAGATATAATCCCCTCTAGGCGAAGCTTTCCTGCGTTGGTGGACTCCGGCGGGGGGTCAGGCGGCCTGGGTCAGTCAGGCCCACAGAATGGGTATACATTGCCGGTCCGGCGAGATTCGATACATCTTGATGCAGGAAGCGTCCTGGTCCTGGCTCTTAGAATCCTTAGAAGTTGAAAACAAAACAACCAAACACCTAGTTGACAACATTCCATGGTCCGCAACTCCATCCACTGTTTCTGGAATCATTTCAGGGGATCAATCGGAGCATCTAAGGGATTTGTGAGCATCGCACCAACAAAACACCAGTCGCCACTCATGGGGATAGAAAGGGTCCGTCCCCCCTCGACAAGTAGATCCTCCAGTGAATAGAACAGTTCATCCGATTCTTCCTGCAAATGTTCATCTGCCATCATATGCCATGGTTGGAGTTGTGGCTTTGATCTGCGCCAACATGACAGTCCAGCTACCCCTCCAGGCCATTCTCGACGGTCGCTCCTTGAATTTAAGAACTTTTGCATGGCACAGTTTGTGCCCTGACACGAGATGGCGGAAGCTCAATGTTCTTGTGTGTGTGGGTGGGTGGGGAGGGGTGTCTTTCAGAGTAATGGATGTTCAATGTAGCCTCCACAAAATGTTGTGGTATTGATTCTTTGGAGCCACACATGTCCCGCACAAAGACAACATCAGGACTGTGACTATAAATATATATATATATATATTATAGTATGTTAAATACAATATGCATCTTTTCTCCGCGAAGGCTCATGGATTTGTCCTGGATTCTGAGGAGCTTGCATGTGAACTGTATACAGTACAATTGAGGCTTCTAGTGATCTGTCCTGTACATAAGATCATGCACACAGTACAGCCTCAAGCATAATTAGAACAGTGATAACACTTAAGCCGACAGAACGTCAACATACGAAGTCTCATGCTTTTGTCCCTGTTCTTGGTGGCTGCCGCTCCTCAATGCATTCTACAATTGTGGAATCCGTGTTAGGAAAGGGAGAACATCACCAGATGACCCGTCCTAGTCTTCGAAGGGTTGTCAAACCGGCTTCAAACGTGGACCCCTGGATCATCCTGGATCTCATGCTGCTTGAGTGCCTGGATTACCAGGTAGTGGAATCGCCTGTAGTGGCTCGCCTTTTTTGCATGTTTTTTCTCTACGAACCCAGCTTGCGTTGCGTTTCATGTGTTTTGTTGTCGGTTCGTGTTGGCTCCCTCGAAGGGTCCACCCATGATCCCAACCTGAACCTGGCCCACCTGGGTCTTCTGGGACCAACCCCTGTGGTGACTTTCACATGTAGTGACCAACCCCTGAGCTCGTCTTCGAGCTCGTCTTGGATATAGAAAGAACCCCTGAATACCACAGGTCAAAGGACGAGAATACTTCTTTGACCGCTTCACCTGCTACCCACCTGGCCCCGCTTCACCTGGCCGTCGCTTCGTGCGGCCTTGCCCCACACTCCGCTCACGCCATCTCCACGGGGTCCGTCGCGTCCACAGCTGAAGCCCTCGTCCGAGGACGGTGGGACGAGGACTGCTGTGTGTCATGCGGGACACCAAAGGAAGGAATATGGTGAGTGTCCCGCAAGCATCCGCAAGCCCAAAAGGACCCAAAAGGATTGTTGGTGAGTGTCCCGCAAAACGGACGCAGTTGTGTTCTTATATAGGAAGGATTCTTCTCTATAGTCTGACAACCCCAAAAGGCTCTGTCGAGAAAAGAGAAGAAAGAAGACATGAGAAGCATGAAGCATGATGACATGAGACTAGCATCCATGTTCCACCATGTCCTCGACGGATTCGGCTCAGAAGTGTGGCACCGCGTCGCACAGCTACGACGCTCGCATGACTCCTGCAAATGACTCCTACGTTGAGGCCGGCCACATGCACCCTGACGTCTTGGCTGACCCGCCAAATTGGGAGAATCACCCTGCACCCAGGGCCATCAGAGAATCAATGTTGCTTCACCAGGCCTCTGTAGCGAGAAAAGATGAGAAAAGAGTCATAACCTGTTCCAAATAGGGCAAAGCTCTGCCTTGCATTGCCCGGAGCAAAAAGAAGAACCCTTGCGGACAAAAACAATGGAAAAGACACCCGCAAAAACACAATGGATTCGTGATTTGTCAAGATGTTGCGCGAGGACTCTTGAAAGGTCTTCTTTGGCTCCACGGATAGTTAGATTGAAGCTGGAGCAATCTCCAAAGGCAAACTCTTTGCTGACCTGTTCCATCTTCTCTTTTCTTTCAGGATATTTTGGGACTACAAAAAGACATTTCTGGTTGTAAACCATGTGGGGAGGTTGAAGACCAAGCAAAAAGGTTGATTCTTGAAGCTCATTCATCGCCTCACATCGCTCGCCAGGTCTTGCCTCGTCTCTCAGCCAAGCCTGGCTAGACATGGGCAGACATCCAATGATGTGTAGCTATAGATAGATAGTCCTACACATCAACAAATGTTCATCAAACTTCCATTGGAACAATAATGAAAAAAAACTGTTGCCGTTTGTGTTTCTACTACCCCAATGATAGGCTGCTAGCCGATGCAGCTTGGGTGACGCTCAGTCAAATGAGTCAAATGTCTTACTGTAATTATAGTCATCACGTCTGCCTCACCCCGGTCGCCTGCAGAGCCAGCACAGACACGGCACCAAAGTCGCCATCGATGAAGCTCACATAACGGCCCTGAAAACAAGTCTTGCAAACACTGGTGATACGAAAGAAAGTCTTGAAATCAATCCAACGCACCGAACCAGCTCGTGGGAGCGGACCTGCATCCGGAGGAAGTTCTGCAAGCCCTGCTTGGTGGCGAGGTCAAAAATGCCATTGACCTCCACATTCGGATTGTCCTCCACCAACAACTCCTGGACACGCGGTCTTGGTCATCCGAAAATTGGTCCAAACGTGGTTCAAGAGGTCCAAAACGCGACGCCACAATTCCACCCACGCGACACCGGGAACACCACAACCGGAACCTCTGTCCACTCTGAACCAACCAGGGTGGGCGACCCCAATCTCAGGACCAACCAACATCCTAGCGATCCAAAAAAATTGATAGTTTTTCCAAAACTAGTTAAGACCACAAACTGTCAGGATCCTGTTCCACTTGGACGCTGCAAACACTTGAATCCTGCAAAACATGAGCGGATCCTGTCCCGCTCACTGCTTCAGTACCTGTTCCACCTCGATCCACGTCGATCGCGCAGCGGTCCTGGAGTCGTCGGATGGTGGTCTCTTTCCACTTGCCATCGATCACCAGGTCCTGTTTTCACGGGCACAGCGGTCTCCCGGGTTTGGTGATGGCCGGGCAAGTGAGGGACCCGGTGACCGGTGGCTGTTGGGGAAGGTATTTTTGTGGAATTTCCTCAGCTGGCAAGACTTCAAGAGATGTGAAGCTTCATGGCCATGCATCTTGGCTGATCCACATCCAAATGTTGTTGTCGGCCCTGACATCCACTGCATTTCCCTTCTGCATTTCTGAGAGCACTGAAATCTTAGATACTATACGTATAGATTCTACTCCCGAAGATTGCAAAGCATAGGATGCCCAGCACGAGCATGCAAGACTCAGACTGGAGTCGATTTCAGAACGATCAGTCAACAAGTTCTCCAACATCTCCCAACTCTGCAACTTGCCACAGGATGCCACAGGAGTGTTTTGGCAGGTTGACTCCAAAAAGAGCACCCCTTGCACATCCCTCGTCCGCCCGAATTTCTACACCTTTTGAGTCATCCATTCCATCAGCGCGCAGCTGATTCAGCCGCATCAGCGAAGGCTGCTTGTCCCACCAAATGAACCTCCAGGAAAAGCCCGGGCTGCCTGCTGAGCGCTTGGCCCAACAAGCGTCCTACCTCGCTGGGATCATTGCCATAGGCACCACATCCTAAGTCCGGAAGCACCAGCGCACCCGTACGCCCCAAAGCATCAAAGGCCACTCCGAGCATGGTGTCAAACTTTTTGAGGATCATCTCTTGATACTTAGTGGCATCTGGCGGTGCATCCACTGGAGCGTCACGAACCTGTCGGTTGCAGTTCGGCATGGCCGCGCTGATTATCGGTACACGCACGACCTGCGGCAAGAAGGGGTATCCCGCATCCGTGCCACCACGGAAGACCTGCACGTCAGGGCTGAGAAGGCACCCATCTTCAGGCAGGTGGCAGGTCCAGGGGACCTTCGGAGCTTTCATGGGAGGCTGACAATACTTTGGGACGGGAATCTGATGGGACTTGGCCAAGGTCTCTGCCACGCGCAAAGAATAGAAGAGGGTGGACCGCATGCAAATGGATTCCTCAAGGGCATGCCGCCCTCCGGTGAGAAAACCGCCCCCCTGCATGATACGCGGAGGCTGCATTGATGACCACAGTAGGGCAACCAGCTGCCAACCTGGCGCATGCCACATCCAGCAAACCTCCAGGGGGGTATTTGTGCCACGTTGTCTTGCAACTTCCTCGTCGCAACTGGGTCAACTTCGAGTAGATCTGGGTTCCTTTACACATAGGTGTCAATGCCAATTCCACGCGCTGGCCATCCTCAGAGTTGGTCAGAACAAATGTTTGTATACATATCATATATAGTATAGTTTAAACAATTAAAACACATGTCTGTTTCCGAGTGCCAATTACGAAGACTGCATTGTGATACTATAACTGCAATTGTGAAGGACCAATGAATGAAGCATGGGGACTGGTTACGGACCACCCACTGCCACAGACTTGTCAAGTCGCCCTGAGAACTTATATATATATATATATATATATATATTCCACTTCAGGGGTACATACAGTATGTGACTGGTCCCTCACAAGAGAGGGGAAAACCAAGTTAAACAATCAGTTGACAACTTCAGCCGAATATATTTGTCATAATTTTTCCACTCAATTACAAGTTTAAAACCCGACCCCGTATTCCGAAGTATTCCAGGCTGGCTTCGAGGATATAGCCACCAGCTTCACAAACGGCCATCGTTTGCTCTGCCCCAGCCCGTCTCTGCTGCCGGTCGTGTTCCTGACGCGATGAGGGTATCATAGCCATTCTGAAACGGGTTAGAACAGGCCATGGTTGTTCCAGGGCTTGTTCCCAGGATTGAGTGTGCTTAAACCGGTCAGAATACTGCTCAATAAAGGATCTTAAGTAATTTAGAAGTTCAGCCTACCTACAAACACCCATGAATGTCCTGTGCTAGTCATTGGGTGTGGATAAGTGATGAGTCGCGCTGCCAATGCTTCCCCTGCTATGCTTTGGTGCGGCTGAGGTCGCAGCACAAAACAAACTGAGGGAAACCCAAGGACTTGGGAGAATGAGGTGCGCTCTGCACAATACCCTGCACTCCATGTATGGCATACCTACCTACATTGAAGTGGTTAACATATAAAAAGTATATCGCCACCAGCTTAGGGGGGTCCTCCGACCTTTGCAGCACGGTGCCTGTTCCCATCGGCCAAAAGGCTCCTGCAATTGGAATCTGGCAGACTTGTTGAAAGGGCTACGTCCAATGCATGTTGCCATCATCAAACACAAAAAACCTTTGTTTCTACTGTTAAGCAGAAAGATCGAGGACCTAGAAACAATCACCCCGCTGACTTCGCAATTTAGATGCATTGTATATTGGTTGGTGGTTTCATCCCTGTTGAACAATATGAACGACAATGGGGACCATACCTCTATCGGCAATTCACCATCAAGTTAGGATCACCAATCAACCGGTGAAGATTCAACCATGGTCATTCTGAAAAAAACCTGACCTGTGGTCTCTGCCAGCCCGGCAAGAATGTTTCTTGACTTTTCCGATCCGATTCGTGGCTCTGAAAGTGTTTTCAAGTCTTGATACGAGTTTAATGATAAGATATGTACATCGTCCCATTTTCCTAGGCAAATTGATTTAGACACCCTTCCCAGATGTCCACCTTTGCGGGCCCCCTTTTTTGGAGGGAACTCCCTAATTAGGAGGGCCGTGTGTTTAAACAGGTGGAAGGGATGTGAAGGGATTAATTATCTTTAAATATCTTTAATGATTGGGATTGAACAATGGTGATCACCAAAAGTAAATCCAAAGTGGCATTAATGCATCAACCAAACATAATTATTGGCCCCAATCAATCATCCCAACGTCGGTTGAACATTTTTGAACATGACGCGATAAGAATTCTTTGAAACCACCAGCCAAGGCAACCAAGGCTCTCCATTCGCCTTGCGGATCCATTCATAGCCGCCGGCGCCCCTTGCCGGCAGCTTGCCTGCCTGGGGTGACTCGAAGCGTGGAAGGCCGCCTGGGAGAATCGCAGGGAGAGGCGCCCTCGGACATGACAGTGAGGATCATTGATGTGCATTGGGTGTACAGAAACACGCATTGGTTCAGCGACAGGGGAGCCCAGGAAGCCTTTACCAAGTAAACACAACAAATGACAGCAGGAAACTCATGACCCCCAGAGAAAACCAACTAAAAATGATACCACAGCTCCCTCCGACACCATTCCCCACCTGAGGGCGAGGGATCCTCCGAGAAAAGCCCGCAGAAGAGGTCCGGTGCCGGCGGCGAGTCCACCGCGCTGCCGGCCGCGGAGAGAGGAGGTCGACTGATTGGACTGGGAGATGCACCACCTCCTCAGTACTTTTCAGGGTAAAAGAGAGTAAAAGAAAAAACCTGCAGCAAAAAGGCTTCAAAAGGAAGGGTCTAGAGATGTAGCAGCAGAAAGTCTAGAGATCTAGACGCATTGGGGTCCAGAGAGGTGATAAAGTGGAGAATGTGGTGATGGTGGCGGTGGTGGTGAGTGAGTGAGTGAGTGAGTGAGTGAGTGAGTGAGCGAGGGAGGGAGGGAGGGAGGGAGGGAGTGAGTGAGTGAGTGAGTGAGTGTGAGAGTGTGAGCAAGAGTGAGAGCATAAAGTGCTGCGAAATCTGCACTCTGAGGATTACAAGGTGCTGCGCCTGCCACAAAATCTGCACTTCGAGGTTCACAAAATGCTGTGCCTGCCACGAAGTCTGCGCTTCGAGGTTCACAATTCTGCTGTGCCTGCCACGAAATCTGTACATCGAGGTTCACAAAGTGCTGCGCCTGTCACGAAATCTGCGCTTCAAGGTTCACAAAGTGCTGCACCTGTCACGAAATCTGCACTTCACTTCGAGGTTCACAAAGTGCTGCGCCTGTCACGAAATCTGCACTTCGAGGTTCACAAAGTGCTGCACCTGTCACGAAATCTGCACTTCGAGGTTCACAAAGTGCTGCGCCTGTCACGAAATCTGCACTTCGAGGTTCACAAAGTGCTATGCCTGCCACGAAATCTGCACTTCGAGGTTCACCAAGTGCTCTGCCTGTCACGAAATCTGCAAACTACCCACATGTCCAAAAGTCACGATTCACTGCACCCGTCACGAAATCAGAGCGCCTCGAAGATCACCACCATGTCCAAAGTGCTGCACCTGGCACTGGCACGAAATCTGCATTTCGAATCAAAGCCGCTCCGATCCCTTACGCGCGCCACGAAAAGTCGACTTTGGACCGCCAAAAAACACGAGGTTCCCTTGCGCCTGCAGTGAGCATCATGTCCGAAAATGCGCACGGCACCACAACGAGAGCGCAGTCGCGACAAGCACCCGGCGCGGCCAAGTAGACTTTGCCAGCCCACGCAGTCGAAATGCACTTCGAGGACTTCGAGAGGCATGAATGCACTGTATGCACTGTAAATAGCAGCGAATTAGCCGGACACGGATGCGCAACACCTCGAATCTAACACCGGTGCTTAACACCTACTGTAAGAAATCCTAGTGTGTCCACACTGTTTGGGGGAAAAAGGAGCACACACATTCAATTTACTATAATACAATATAACATAACATAACATAACAACATAACACAACATTACATATCATATCATAACATAACATAACATAACGAGGGAAGGCGTGTGGTTTGGAGGTGGCTGAAATGAGCAAGCTCGAAAGCCGTTGGAGACGATTAGACTCATCATGGCCATGGTGAAGTGGCTGAACAAGTTGGCCCTGGTGAATCAGCGATTGTGTCACGTGTTGGTCAGGAAAGGACTTCAATGAAGACCTTGTCAGCGTTTGTCAGTGACACAACATGTCTCACAGGTCACGAGGCGACAATTACTCACACTGTGAGGTGATAAGGTCCTGGAGGGGCAGGGGCCATTTTTGTCCATCTGTCTCCGCACTGATCACCCTTTTGGTCCACATCGGTGTGGATGGCCATAGGGGTATAGTGTTAAAGTGCTACCAAACTAAAGACAACAACTTCCAAGTGAATCAACACCCAAGCATGTTCCAATCCCAATCCTTCTTAACTATTATACATTACAGTAACTATTCACCACCCAAAGAACACACACATTCTTTCAGCAGACCAGTCTCCACTGCTTCCAGGGCTGCTTCCCAAACCCTCAGGTACCACGTTCTTGGAACCCACCCAGCCATCCAGCTTTCCGCAGCGGATGCGGCGAAAGGAGCCCTCTTCACCTCGATGCAAGGAGCGCTCGCGCACACAGATCCAAGTCGCATCTGGATGAAACAACTGAGCCAACCCCAAATGACCCCTATTGATGATGGCCTGTTGATGGCGGAAAGATTTCCAAGGGACCTCTTGAAAAACCGCTGCAACCTAACCTAGGGAAATTGTCGCGAGGTTCACAGCAAACAAACTCCCACCCAGGACCAACAAATATCAACCCCTCCCTCGAAAACCGAAAACCAGCCGCCGGCCGCGCCTAAGAATTCCACCAGTGTGCCATTGGGAATGGCCCCAATCTGCCTGAAGCGGTTGGGCTGCTCGTAGACCCAAACCTCTGGATGCCCATCGAATTGCCTGGCGCCGCAGTGATCGTCGCACTGTTGGACATGGGTTACAAGTACAGGTCCATTTTGTACTCGACTCGCAACATAAAAATATATAAAAATCATCCAAAGGGCTTCTCTACAAATCTTTGCCTCCTACAAGCCTCAAGATCAAACACTCTATTATTCTAATATATATATATATATATATTCTCCAAATCCTGACATTTCAACACACTGCCCCCCCTCTTCGCCCTGCCGCCTCAGCCTCACCTTTGGTGGCAACGGCGGCCCGGTTGGCCCGCTCGGACCAGGTGCCCAATGGCTGGGCGGCGGCCGGACCACGGCGCCCGCCGGCAGTGCCGGGCCGAAGCCGGGCACGCCCGGCGCCGGGGCACGGTGGACGAGGCTCGGAGCTCCAGGGCCACCCACGTGTGGTGGAAAGGGTAAGAGCGGATTTAAGCCAGCATAGTGAGGATTCATGAACCTCATGAAGCAAACAGCATGAAATGCACGCAGAGAACATGGCAGAATGCAGAACAGTGTTTGATTTGATGTGTGGAAAAGGGTGCTTGGAAGTGGGTGAAGCATGGTGAAGATCCTGAAGGGGCGAAAATCATTGAGACTTAACATCACAGAACAAGGATAACGTATGACAACCCAGTCCACGCTAATGCACTGAGGAACTGATTGAAATGATTGAAGCTTGGATTCACGTATGGATTCACGTAGGGATTCACCCGTGGCGCTTCCACTGCTCGAGTATCTCTGCCTGTGAGCTCACTGCAAATCTTGGCACCCATCGGCGTGCGTCTCTGCTCCAGCCCATTGCTGGAATGGCATGTTTGGCCAATTAATAGTATGTGCTATATAGCTGCCCGGCCCGCTAGGCTGATGAGTTGAATGCTTTGACGACAAAGACATGCTATGCTGAGTTGCACCTTAGGCAAATTCTGATACCCTAGGCAACAGCTTCTGCATGCTGCATGCTTTGCGAGAAGAAACGCGCATCAGGTCAAAAGGCGATTAGACCTCCTATGTGTCGGAGTGGAAATTTGAGGATCTTCCAGTAACTCTCAGTAACTCTCAGGATTGGAGTCCGGAAGGAATCTCCAAGGGCCCATGACATGGACTGGAACATTTTTGGGTGTGCCCTCGAAGAAGAAGGAGATTGAACCTTGCTTAGGACACGTTCTAGCTCCTCAGCAAGCCACCAGCGTCACAAAAAGGTATGAAGTTGGCTGCTATTGGGGCTATGCGGACTCATGAAATCCATTGGTTTCAACTCACTCAAAGCTGAATCGATGTGATTTCCGCTCACGTTAAAAGAGTTTATCAAACACTGACACTGATAGAAACCCTCCAGCAAAGGAAAGTTGTATGTTGTCTTAAGACCGCCCCAAAATGTTTTGTCTACTTGTACCCATTTGTGCACATGGAGGAAGTACACTCCGACTAGCACTGGCACTAGCCACACAAATGGAAATGACCCTGCCGACCGCAGATGGGTCCCCAGTCTCCCTTTCTGGTCGGAATGGCAAGTTCACCAACCAAACAGTGCCTCAACCCGCACCCAAGCCACCAGCGTTGATTTGTGCCCCCCAAAACGTTACAACAATCACGAACCGGTGCCACCGGTGACTCACCACTCACTCACGTCACTCTCTGCGTTCGGATCGTTTCTTAGCATCCTGCCTTGTCAATCTGCCCCGCACGCGCGGAGTTGAGGAACAGCTGCAGTGACAGCCGTGTGGCCGTGTGGATGACGCCATCCACACCATCTGCCTGGCGTGCGGTGAGACTGCGAGCGCCCAGCCGGGCGAGACTCGACTCGGACGATGGCTTCGTAGCAAAACGGGGTGAATTCTGTTCATGTTCGATGGTCCACCAGGGTTCACAGGTTTGGACCCACAGCCATCGTGTTGAGGCTATATACCATGGAACACTACCATACAACAATGGAACCCGACCAAATGCACTTCTGGCATGTCCGATGCTTTGCCGTGAAGATGGATCTTAGACTATATGTATAGCCCCCCCAATTAATCCATTGCCGGCAAACAAAACGCCATGCACGTCATGTATGATTTGACCGTAGGAGACACCGTAGGATGTTCATCTTCTAAAGAAGGATTAGCCGCCATTGGCTGTGCTGCGCTTCACCTATTTTGGCTCTCGTCGAGTCTCTCTGTTGGGATCCGCTGTGGCGCTGTGACAAACACCCGAGCGTGACATTCAAGTTGGCTTGGCCACGCCATTTATTTTTCTGCAAGTCATGCAGGCTTCACAAGACAATGACTCGTGAAACGTGACAAACCTGTCACAGGTCACAAAAGAAGGCACAACAGAAGGAACCTACCAGCTTCAGTGGTCTTTGCGAGCAAGTGCTATTGAGTTGACATCAGTCATCAGTGTCTATCCTCGCAACCTCCTAAACCTGCAACAGCCACCTTGGGTCCACAATTGGGCTGGTCTACAGCCACTCCTCCGTCCCGAAAAAGAAATAGAAAAAGAAAGTGAAGCGCCTCCGTCCCGTCCAAGCCGCAGGGGAAGCCTTGGTCTCGGAGCCAGGCCTCCAGACCACAGACCACCTGCCGACGGCGAAGCGGCTGAACGGCGAGAAAAAGCGACACGCGCGGTGGGCAGTGTAAGGCCGCAGAGAGAAATAGAATGTAACATTGAAAACGAGGTTTCGACGTTACGGAACGCCTTTTTCCCTTGAGCCAAAATACGTCAAGAGTCACGTGTCTGCAGTACCCTATAGCGGAGTATATATGGGCTGTACATACAAACACTCCTCCTCTTGCAAAGCACTGTACTGCTGCGCAAGCATAAAAGTAAACATGTGAAACTCTCGCTGCTTAGCCACTTTCAGTTGTGGTAGTGGAGCTTGGCCAGGGACCTTACTCCAAAACATCTAACTGTCCTTTGCTTCGCTTGCTGAGGAATGCATATTGCAGATCCTCCATGGTTTTGCGAAGCTGCACCCCAGGAACCGATTTGGTCAAAACATCGGCTTTGTTCTTGAGACCTGGAACGTGGTGCACTTTCAAGTGGCCTTCGGCGACCCTTTCTTGCAACCATAGGTAGCGAGTTTGGATGTGTCTGGTTTTACCCAAACCCACTCTATTCACAGTTCCTTTGGCTGCATTGGAATCGCCTTCGATGGTGACTCCTAATTCCAAACCAAGGTCTGCGCATAGGCTTTGGAGGCCTAAGCCCACAGATCCTCCCTTCACAAGTGCATAGTATTCACTCTCACCTGTTGAAAGGGCTACAGTGGATTGGATGTTACTACTGTGTTTCAACACGTGCACGCCGTACATAGCAACCATGCCAGTCGTGCTTTTGCGCGTCACAGCGTCACCACCATGGTCGGCATCGACCTGCACCCTCAGCCTTGAGGGTATCTGCTGCGAACCAAAACATTGCCCAACATCAGGGTATTTCTTCAAGTACCTGATGAGACGCTTCAAGTCAGCAAGTTTGGCTTCCGTTGGTGATACCATACCTCGAGCAAGGTTCTTGACTGCGTGCCCAATATCAAGTCGATCTTGGGACAAGTACGCAGCACGCATCGTTGCTGAACGATACTTCGATGCCTCGCTCTTATCAAGCAGCGGACTGCGGCTTTCCAGCATCTGCTGATCTGCCGACTTCTTGACATCTGGTCATTCTACACCATTTGCCTTTTCCAGACCAAATGCCTGGATCAAAAGATCAACATGTCTCCGATCGGCTTCGATCACAATTGACCCTTTGCCGTTCGTCTTTTCGACTCGGATTAACCGATTCAGAAAATGAGCTTCTGTTCGGTCTCCATCCTCGTCTCCAAGAATTCCGAGACATTTCAGCTCATAGGCATCTTTGAGGACTTGGCTGAGCTTTTCCAAGTGTTGGGCGTCTCCAAGTGCTAGGAAGTCATCTCCATGCACCATCACTCTGACGTCCCAAGCTTCTTGGTAGAAGACTGATGCATTTGACAAGCCTCTGCGGAAACCAGCTTTCTGCAGAGTCTCTGTGTAGTGCGTCTGCCAGATATTTGGAGCATCCTGTGTTCCATACATCGACTTCACGAGAAGTCCACAGGTTTGTCCATCTTTGCTGGCTTCGTCCTCAGGTGGCAGCTCTATGTAGATCTTTCTCTTTGGAGTTCCATAAAAGTGTGCTCGTGAGATGTCCCACAAGCCCAGCTTCAGCGGCTGGTTGTGGCAGGACTTTCTCTTTGTTGCCCACAACGAGCACAGCAGTCTCATCGCCTCCAATGGGGGCGTGCTGCTGAAAAGCAAGTTGGCTGGCAATTGTTCTTCTTTGGTCTTTATTGCCTTTATCTCACGCACAACTAAACGGCTCCTATAGTTCGGGTTTGTTGGATCTCCCTTGTTGGTGTCCAACCATCTGACTGGAATCGGGGGCTTCCCCGTTTCCTCAAAACATTCGGCTCTCGGCCGGGTCACATAAACACCATGCTTTTCTTTCAAATAATTCATTTCAAGGCGTCTTGCCTCTTTCACTTTCTCGGCTGGCAAAATGCCGCCGTTCACATCGTCCATGTAAATTTCTTCGAACTCAGGGTCCATCAGAGGCATCTCTGGAACTGGGCCTGCTGCAAACAAATCAAAGGTGTTTAACTCACCTTTCTCGGCTAGCGTGTCACGCAGGCTCCTCAGCACTGCTTTCACAAGCGGCGGTGGGTATACCGCTGCTTGCCTTGCAATGCCTCCGATCAGATGGATGTGTCGGTGCCATGGTCCTTTGCCCGACTCATTCGAGCAGACTCCTTGCAAGACTCTGGCTAACCCTTCGTCGTTGGTCATCCAACCGGTCTCCTTTCTCACATAGCCAGTGCCTTGGAGTCCTCTTCGGTCGGTGGCCATCATTTGCCACCTGCACATTGGACCCTTCACTATGAACAATCCATCTTCCTCTGCTAAGGCCGCGACTTTCTCATCCTTCCAACTGGTCGCGGACCAAGGTGCCTCGTGGAGGAATTTTCTCCCTGAGCGATGCTGCTTGACATACAGCTCTACGCTCGTATGAAGATGGTGGACGGCTTCGTCCATTTTCCTCCTCCGGACATCCGGTGCCATGCTTCTCCAGTTAAGGTTCTGGAGCTGCGAGAACATATGGCACGGTGGCGAACCAGTCAAAAGTGCCGGTTCGTCCTTCTCAAGGATATCGTGCACCTCTTGAACATCTTCAGGCTTATTCAAGTCCCAGTATGTTCCATCACTTTTCATTTCATTCAAGTCGACCGCAAAACCCGGTCGCAACTTGTAGCGCTCTGCAAGCGCAGTGAACCTCTTGGGCGAGTAGATCTCCATGATATCTACTGCTGACATCTGCACGCTCAAATGAGCGATGTCTCCGATCTCTTGCTCAGAGATCTCAATGCCATTCGCCTCATAGGTTCCTTGAATGATCTTCTTCAGATGCTGCTTTGCGATCTCCTTCTCTTTTACCAAGCTGGCTGCATCTGGCCTCCACCCTGCTGGTGGTGTTTCTGGAACATGTGAAAACTGAGACGTTTTCTTTGGACTCTCTTCCACTCTGGGATCAAGGTCTTCTACGGCGGTCTCTGCGGACCTCTTTGTTCCTTGAACTGGATTCGGCTTGACCTTTGCCCCAGGTGGATCTATCCGAAGTTCTCCTGTTCTCTTCTTGGGCTCTGTTGCTACCTTGGCTTTCGCCACTGGCTTCTTCTCTATCTCGGCTGCTTGCCTCTTCATCTCATATCTCTCTTTCGGGTCATCGGGATAGGTTTTCTCACCCTCTGCTGCTGCTGGCGGTGAGCTTCCCGACCCTGCGCTCGTTGCTTCTTCCTTCTTTTCTGGTTCCCCAGCCGCGTCTTCGGCTGGGATGTC